ATTACCGACGTCTCAGTAAAATTAAGTACCTTCTGGTGGCACCTACAACCTTCCTCTCAGTCTTAGAGAGAGCCTCACGTTCCTATGCGAGGTCTTTAGGTTCACAGGTGGAACAAAACCTGAACTGCCTTTCTGCTCCCCAAAAAGAAAAAAATATATTTAATTTTGTCTTTAACATTTTTGTTTATTGCAACATTAAAAGAACCTTATTTTCTTAGCAATTGATCAATATCAGTATATGTGATGGGACTAAAGTGTTGCAATAAAATTATGTTGATACAACTGTTTTTTTATAGATAAAAATGCAACCAGAGGGAGTTAATGGAATATCAATTTGAAAAAAAATAAAATATTGGGACCTGTGTTTAGGTGTTTAGATTGGAGAGCTGTCTACTATTATATAAGCTGAATACTAATTACTGCGCATGAAAGCGTCATATTTTCACTGATGACCCATGAAAATATATAAGATATTTTTAAAAATGTAAGTGATGTTCTCACTTTTCTGAGACTATAAGCACCACGGTGAGACTTTTCCTTTGTAAACTGGTCCTGTTTTCTGTTCGAGGATCCAAGTACAGTCAGAGATAATAAAAAAAATACTGAAGGAACAGCTTGCAGCTTGAAGAAGGAGTTAGAAAGGACAACTCTCCTGGTTAGATGATAACCATAGATGTGTTTTATCTGATAGTATAGATACGTAGAGCTGCCACCTCCCCCAGGCTCAGCAGCAGTCATGTAAACAGACAGCGCTCTGGAGGAATGCTGGACTCTGTGACCTCCCGCCCTGAGCGCGGTTACAGTGCACCGAGTTCAGCTGAAGCAGCCCGCCCCATGCTGCGCCTCCCCAGAGCTCCGCCTCACCCTACCCCAAGCCTGAGGCCCCGCACAGTGGAAAAAACACACCCGTTCACTGAACGCCAGAGCCTCCTCACATACACATACATGAACGGAGACACATGCACACATGCACTTCCTCACTGACTGACGAGTGTTCCTCACTCCTTTTTTTTTTACACCGCCTTTACTCAGCTGTCAGAACAGCAGGTTCATGGAGTTCCTTCAGTTTCAGGCTACTTTAGCTTAGATGTTTATCTGCAAGTTGGTTTACTTGACATTTTAAATCTGCTTCCTCCCTGGAAGATTTTTCATCATTAGTGTTATATGGGCAGTTTGTTATAAAAAAGAGAAGTCTCTATTCTTTGTCTATTTAACTGCCTTTACTTAGAAATTTAAAAGTATAAATAGGCTTTAAAGAAAAGATAGGTAAAATAAATTGTTTAATAAAAACTTTAAAGTCCCTTTGTAATTAATTTGATATTTACACTGCTTAATAAAAGGCTGATGGTGAGTTTGGAAAAGGAAAGGGCCATGGAGACACTGCCATCTGCTGGTGCAGAAAATAAGGGAAACATCAGTAGAATTAAAATAAACAAAAACAAAATATTCAAACATAGAATGAACATAGAAATGATAGTAAAACCACTTATCTACAGTTACAAGAGAGGGATTGAATTCTCATTATGATCTATTTCTATATCAAACATATTTGTATTTATGGACAACAGCAGGAAGCAGATTAAGCTAAAGCACAGTACAAGCTAGAAAGGTCATCAGTTTATTACCTGGCAGAATGGAGACAAAGGAGGAACCATTCACACCGAAGGTCAGTTTTCAGGGCAGACCGTTAACCTGACCTGCATGTTTTTGGGCAGGAGACAAAGCTGGAGTATCCTGAGAGACAAGATGCCTGCATTGTGAGAACATGCAGGAAAGCATGTAATAGAAACGCCATCTTCTGCTTAAGACTTAAAACTTGACACACTAGATTATTGAATATTGAAAATAAACCAAAAGAACAAGTGATGCATTAGTTTAAACTCACACTGCCCTGCTCTTTGAAGCTCTACATTTTATGCAGCCCTTTGTTTAAACCACATCTTGAATATTGTAATATCAAGTAGTGTAACACGCATCCTAGTCACTGTAGGAATAAAAACAAAACAAAAAAGAAAGTAAAATGTTTGATAACATTGATTTAGGTATAACACTCCTTTTGATCCAAACTTTCGTAGTCTCAAACTTTTGAAGTCCAGTCTAAACAATAAATCTGAGACAAAGGCACGAGTTAAAGTGCAATAGCTTTAGGTTAGCATGTCGAGGGCCAAAAATATTGAATACGATTAATAAAAGCAATAAATAATCTCAGCCGATTAATATATTAAAAAGAAATACTTCTTAAGTAGAGTTTGCTGTTACATAACTGGTTTATTCAGGGATCTGCAACTTCTAATTAGGTTTCTGATAAATCAGATAATAATAAAAATGGATAGCATTCATTATCAGGTGAATTGGAGGTCGTGATGTTGGATGGTTTATTGGGTTGTGGATTTTTATAGGTTTGTTTTTTATGGTTGCTTTGTGCTCTGCTCCAAAAGTTGAAATCGTTAGTATTCGTTTCGCATTAAAGGCAAATAAACTTTTACTTCAAAAATGTTCCTATCTACTTTTAGATGAGGTTTTGCAGCGTGCTTTGAATTGTGATGTAGGTATATAGGTCCCTGTTTATAGGCTGTATAACACCAAATGCAGATCTATATATATATATATATATATATATATATATATATATATATATATATATATATATATATAGTTCAACATAGAAGCACATCACCCTGTGCCACCATCCAGTATCTTCCTTCTGGGCCTCTCTTCAGTGTACAAGAAAGTTTTCGCTCCCCAGGATTGTCCCACAACTGAAAAAATAAAGATCAACTGCAGTTAATGACGTAATGCCATAGAAAAAAAAAAAAAGCAACAAAATTCTAATTTAAATGAAAAAACTGCCACGTATAAAGTGTCAGGTTTTTATTTCTAGTTTCACAATTTAATGTCTATTGCAATCACACGTTTTTTAGAATGGCTCTTAAAATCAGTCATTTGTTCATTTTATCCCCCAACACATGTTTGGAATGAAAATGATATGGAATGAAATGAGAAGAAAGAAAATGGATGGGGGAATAAATAATAAAGGTTCCACTGTTTGATTATATTTTCAACTCCCAACCAGCAGATTCCTGTTCTAATCTTTACTCTGCAGGCATTTATGTGTGGTGATCTCTTCATGTGTGGGTGGGAGGCAGGTTTTCAGTAAATCCACCTATTTCATCACTCAAATAGCATCAATTTCAGGTTAAAGTTTGCTTGCATTGTAAAATTACTTATAGGTATGAGTGTTATTCAGGTAATCGTGTGTGTGTTGTGGTCCTGTGATGGACTAATGATCTACTTGCTGAATTAAAGCTAAAATAACTCCAGTACGGATTGAATTTTGTTCCTTTATTGGTGCAAACAAATAATATGTTTTGTGAATGAAAAATTGAAAAAATGCACAAGTTTGAAAAATGTATTAATCAAAAACAGGGTTTGAGAATAACCTATGTAATAAATGATTTTTTAAAATGTTTCTGTTATTTTTTGTAAATCACAAAAAGAGAACTTTAATTAAATGAGAATATCAAATCTTTAAAAAAAAAAAAGTTAAAGAAAACATTGTGGAACAAATATAATAAAAAAACGTATAACATAAAATCTAAAATTGTACAATAAAATTTAAATAAATATATATTTGGGGGAAAAAAATTCAGATTGAAGAAATAAATACAATGATATGAGAAAATCTGTCCAAAAAACATAACAGCAAAGTTACTTTTAGAACCTTTTAAATAAAAAAAAAAACATTTAGTAAAAGATTGTTTCCAGATTGCTTTATCTTCATATTTGCATTTACAAAATGTGATTATTGCTTTAAACAATAATGGACCAAATTTATTTCCATAATCCAGCAGCAGCTTAACAACAATAAATAGATACAGAAAAAGAATAAATTACAAATAATGACTTTTTTCTTCTCTCATCGGTTCCTTTTATACGTTCATTTTAAACATTTCTATTCTTTATCCTGTGACAGGTTTATCCTTTTATGCAAATCGGAAAACTTCCGTCCTAATGTAGCGGTTTGCTCAAAGATGGAGGTACTGAAATACAGACACAGCCTCTTCAAACAGATGTTCTCCAGATGTGACATCCAGCAGGTCATGTCGGTTTACAGTTGAGCATTCGGGGCCATAAATCTTTATCCACCAGTTGTCACTTTGCTGCATCACATCACGGCTAGCAAAGCCTTTCCAAACATTAATTGCATGCATGCATGTTCGCCGTGCCTTGTGCCCACATGTGGACAGATGGTCGCATAGATGCAGACACACCCACCCACACACATGTCCAGAGTGTTGCACAGAGAGAGACACAATCACAGATAGCAGTTCAGTGAGAAAACGAGGAGCTGTCTGGTGCCATAGCAACCGATGCGGATATCTCACCCTTCTCCAGCAATAGAGGGGAACAAAAAAAAGCAGACATAGTAATGACAGATTGACAAGACCTGAATGAGATCTTTATGCATAAGGGGAAAAATGAGAGCATTAGCTAGAGGGTATGGTAAAAATCCAGGACAAGCCAAAAATCTGAGCGATGGAACGACAGAAATAAGAGGAAAGTGAGGATGAAATAGTAATAAAGTAGAGCAATTAAACAGTTTTTATTGAAAAACAAAACCAAAACAAGCCCTCTGGGGTTCGTCTTTCTGAGCAATGGCCTTTAAATACAGTTGCTCCTGCAGCCTTTCCCTCAGCTACTCCCTCTCCTCTGTGACTTCAGTTTGAACTGCTGTCTCATATGTAATACTATTATTCTGGCCCATATATCTAGTTACATAACACCCTGTACCAAATCCTGACCTCAATCTGCAAAACAGCCACTCTTCCTCTGATCTGAATATTAGACTTCATATTATCAGTGGTGTATTTGGAGAACAAAAAAAATCCCCACATCAAACAGGCTAGGAGTCAGCAGATCACAGCGTCGGTTATGGACGGTACTTTTTGGAGATTTGGACAAATACACCGGCTTTAGTCATTTTTCTTTTCTTTTTCTAGGAGGCTGAAAGTGCTGTGGGAGCGGATGGAGAACGTCGACCACGTCCCAGTGGTAAGTTGAATCCTTGCAGAGCTTTGTTTTCCTGTCTGGCCTGCAGGTGGAAATCACACCCACTGCTGTGTGACAGACTCCAAATATTGGCAGAATCGCTGCTGGGAAAAACTCACTTTTATCATCAATATCTGCTGGGTTGCTTGGTGCGATGTGACAAACATGAAGTGCGGGTGTATCTCAGTCCTACATCATGTATGTGTGTATTTGGTTCGACTGTAAGGCTCTGGTTCTATCAGAAGATCAATGAGGTACAACTTTAGGTGCAAAGTGACGAAATGAACCAGTTTTGCTGTGTTGTTCCTGTGTTATTGTAATGTAGGTCGGATTTCTAAGCCCTTTTGAGCTTTGATGAACTACACTAAGGTGAGCTTTGCTTCTGCTAGAATGTAAACGCTTTGCCTTTTCATTTTTTTAAGTGCATTTTATGGGCAGAAATTGTGAACTGCCCAGAGTGAATCTGCATACGGAAAATCTGCATATAAATGTATTAGACTGAAAGTAAATTACTTTATTACGGCTATTTTAATGTGAAACTGAATAAAATAGGAGGATTTTCGGAGGATAGTTTATTTTAATGCAATTTGATTAATTTCACTTTCTTCTGTAATTGAAATTCAACTTTGAAATTCAGATTTCTTTTGTGCATATAGTGAAGGGTTGCTGCTGCATTTTGACCAGCAGAAGTGAAGCTAACTGGAGCTTAGCCAATTGCCTGCATCAGATTTAATGACCAACAGCAATCCTCTTAGGTTTTTATTTAATTTATTCCATGCATAAAATTTTTGAGGTAAACAAACGATAGGGTAATTGTAACAGCTTTGCTACTTGTTGCTGTTAGCTTCAGATGCTAAATTAGCACTGTGAGCAGCAGGTTTTGCCTCATAAGTGTTCCCCTTAGCCACTGGCTTCCAGTGTCATGCTAAAGTAGCAGCATTAATATATAGAAATTACAGGATAGAACAACAACCCCCTATTGGCCGTTTAAGACGATGACATGCAGGAATATTTGTTTGCCTGAAGACTCTTATGCATGAAATGCATTCAATACAAACTTAAGAGTTTTGCTGCCTGTTATTTTATATATTCTGAATCTTGTTTGATAACTCTGGTCTTTTTCAAGGACACAGGTTTTTGGCACAAAAATAAATCAGAATTTGAGAAATAAAGGTAAAGTTTTTCAAATTGAATTTTCGATGCACTAAACTAAAGTTTTAAATAAAATGTATTTAGTGTATAATGTATTTAATTATCCATGTAAACACCCTGTGCAATAACACTATAATACTCCTGCTATAAAAAAAAAAAAAGCTGTCATATGTGGAAGCACTGTATATACTCTATATATCCCATGCACCTTTTTCTCCCTTTGGCACATTCTTCTTCTCCTTTGACTATGACTAACTGATGTAACGAGTACATTTTTCCAAAGTGAGATCGATACAGTCAATCAATCATCAATCAATTAACACTGATTCCATTGGCTGATCTTTTTACCTGCCTGTTCAAGTAATCAGCAGATACGCCTATTTCAAATTTTTTTAAAACTTATTTTGCATCCATTTTTACAGTGTATGTATGTTATAGATGTTATTTGCAATTTTAAAAATAGATGTTAATTCAGAGAAAAACCAACACTTGCACCTTCGGTTCTCTGTGTGAAAAGCTTTAATAAAAGCTTTAATATCAGGTTTTGTTGTCGTAACATATTATTTAGATATCAGAGAAATCAATTCTATGAGTATTTATGAAGTGGGCGGAAAAAAGCATGCTAGGAAATTAGTTTTTAACAAGTCTTGGCCCAGTTATCTTTGCCCCTACTAATAAACCTCCTTTCTGAAAATCAGACTGAACAGATTGAATCTATAGGATTTCAGAAAAACTTGGTGACAGGCTGAGGCTATCAAACATCCATACTGTGTTAGCAGTTCAGGTCTGACCATTCAAGGGCAAGTATTAGAACATTCAATGTTTTAAAGAAAAAAAAATAGTGGTCAAATAATTATCTATAATGCTGTAGATAAATTGAAAAAATAAATAGACATGATGGTTAATCTGCTGTTGGCAGAATTTATTTTCTCTTCTGTTTGTTGGAAAAGTAATTAAATGCAATTATCATGTTCCCTTTACTGGTATAATTGCACCAGTTAATGATGATTATAATAAAACGTTTATTTCACCAGGAAAAAACATTATGATTGATGTCTTATTTTCAGTGTTAGCCTCATTATGTTTAAAATCTCACCTCTGTGATAACAAGTCTTATTCTTAAAAAAAAGCTTGTTTTCGTTTTAATCTTTTTTCTTTCACCTATTAGATTAGGTCAACTATTTTTTACCTAATCTGACCCTACATGGCAAAAATGGAAATAGAAGTGTTTTTTTTTTTTAATCAAAAGTATATTTCCCCTTGATCTGAGCAGTTAGGTACTGTAAGACAATTAACAACAAAGATGATTTATTGTCAAAATAAGATAGAAAACAACTCTGTTATCTTATTTAAAGTGCATGATATCTAATCTTATTTTAAGGACAAGATCACTGCATTTACCTGCTAAGATTAAGGGCAAAATACTAGAGATGCATCAATACTTCTGCTGATATTAGCTTGTTTTTTCCCACTGTGTCGCTGTCAGCCGGTACATGCATGTATTTGCTGATTCAGTAGAGCATTCGGCAGCCATGCCTTGTGATCACATGAGGCGCATGCTTTGCTACTCCCTCCATCTGCTCTCCAATCTTTTGTGTGAAATTTGTTATGATGTTGTTATCTTTAGTATGTAAATAGAGGAAGAAAATTAAATATCGGCCTCACCAATATTGCTGATCGTTTCAACTACAATAATCGTCATAAGCCTTAGAAAAAAACAAAACATATCTTTCGATCTGTTGTAAATACACTTCTTTTCTTATATTTTACTTATTTATATTGTCAGTTTATTCTAGTGTATGAGTTTCTAAATCGGATTCTTCCAGAACATGTTCTTGTATTTCCCATCATTCCTCTAATATTCTTCACCATGAGCATCAGGTGTTTCCACAACATGTTCATGACTGAAGTCAAAACCCACCTGCAGTGTTTGTCGCAGAAAACGCTCAGTCTGGATTGTTATTGTTGTCAGTAGGATAAAAAAAGACGTTCCTGGCATGCCTCCCATACAACCAGTTGGCATGAAGATAGCACTGGGTGGCTGCTATCGACACTCAGTGACTCCAAGACGTCACTTTTCACTGCTGTATTCTAACAAGGAGTCTGGAATATTTTCTTTTTTTGCCTCTTTTTCTGACTTCATTTTTTTGTTTATTACTTATTTTTTAATGGATTTGATGTGATTCCACACATTGTTTTTTTTATCTCTTCTAATGTAATAATTACATAAATGCTCAAACTAAAATTTTTATTTGCAATAAAATGTTTATTTTTAGTTTTATGCTTTTAGGAGCAAACTGAATGAATTGTTAGCGTTTTCTTTGTATTTACAGCCAGTCAGGGAATATAGGGAATATATATCTGTGCCTGCAGTTGTTTCCGCCATCGCCATGCTGGTGCCGCGTTACCCGAGGATTGTTTCTTCCCCTCTCTTTAATAGCCAAACCCCACCTGAGCCACTCTGCCGTCTGCCTGCTCATTTACGCCTTAGCCTGAGGGGAGGGGGGGGGGGTTGAATTACCAGCCAATCAGACTTCTCATCCTAACAGTCCTTGACACACGTGTTTAACCAATCACAGGACGCTGCAGCAAAGAAAGCAGCAGCAGCAAAGAGGCAGACAGAGGACTTAATCAAAACGCCCATCTGAGCTCCGGTGTTCGTTGGGGTCAAATGACAAAAAGCAAATGAACTCTTTCATTTTTCACTTCCAGCTTTTTAACTTTGCTTTGGGGAACTTAATTTTTTGCCCCTTTAATGATAAAAAAAAAAAGAACAAATAGAGGGAAAAACCACAGTGGTTAGAGCTTTGAGTAACTTTTCCTCTTAATTCCTGCTTAATTAGTCTTATCAATAATCTAAAACAGACAAACAGAATCACACAACGAATGTGAATGGCTTCTGAAATCATCGGATTTGATCCAGGGAAGGACCAGAGTGGGGTTCTGGGAATCCGATTGAGTTTTAAAACGCCTTAAAAAAACGTGTTGTTCAGCGTTCATAACTCTGTCAGCGCTCAAAGAATCAGAAGAGGAGGGGTAGAGCTAATCAGCTTATAGCTCGTCAGCTCGGTCACAGCAGATCCAAAGCCTATTTCCTCTTCCAACTCGCCGTGGTCAGGTATCAGAAACCAGCCGTCTATACTGGGCACGCCACTGGTTCTCATGCTGGGGTTATTACTGGGACTTAAACACTTTTCTCTCTAAGTTTACAGGGAACTGAATCAAGGTTTGATTTTTCAGCGACTGGTGGCCATCTTTCTTTTTTATTTTTTAAATCGCCAATCATTTTTATACCTGTAATAACAGGTCAGTTATTGACAGTCTTTGAAAAGAAAGGTATACATTTTATTTAGATTTAAGTACTACAAAGTTTTTTTTTTCTAAACATGAATCTTTAGCCCATTATATGTCAGATTAATCTCCAAAATAGGATTCCTTTTAGCAGAAAACCAGCTCCTTGATTGTAATATAAAAAATATCTTCAGTCCCAAAAAGAAACGTTTTTATACTAACTACAGGCAAAAGTCCATTAGCAGACAAAGAAAGAAATTGAGAAATAACCTTTATTATACCTTGCTTGTGTCATATCTGTCAGATAAGCTTCAGATTTTCATCCTTTCTCTCTTTCATGTCGATATTTCTTTACTACTATAAGCAATTTCATATGATTCATTTTAATAAGACAATTTTGAAAAAAGAAAAAAAATAATAATTACAATTTTTTTTTTTTTTACATAAAATTTTAATTGACTTAAGTGTACTTTTTAAAACAGCATACATGTTTTTTTTTATTAAAGGTTTTATGTATTTTTTTTGGGGGGGGGGTTAATTGAGGCATTATGTTTCTGATT